TACTGGTTTACTCTTTGTCTGATTGATTTTGTTTTTTTGGGTTGGTTTCTTTTTGTTGGTTTACCAAAGAGGCTAGAGTAGAATCTTTTCTTCCGTGAAAGAGTCACTGGTCACTTGCCTATTCATGGTCTTACATTACTATACACTTTGAGCTACTGCCAATGTAGCAAAGAGCTTTAAATCATCTGTGTCTTGCTGGAAGGTGATGACCTTGCCTTTCATGAGTGGGTCTTCCCACAGTTCTTTGTGCTTTGTGTAGTTTTTCTGGTTGCATTATGATTGATATAGTGGCAATATATTGAAGGAAAAAATGTTAACATCCAGGCTTTTTCTGTCCCTGAGCCATGTTTGTTATGATTTCACTGCCCTGACATTCATGCTAATGTCACTATTTTATATACTTATCCAGACTATCAACAGGCTTTCCTACGAAATCTCCTCTTAGGACTTGTATTTTAATATGTTCTCACCTCCAAGTGTTGTGTTAGCAATAGAAAAGACATGGAAAAGTGGGGGGTGAGGGGCAAAGAATGGACTGCTGCAAATTAGTATGTATGTGTTAGTCTTTTTTCCCACCTTTTTCCACTTTTGGTCTGCAGAGGCATTTCCAAATCAGAACCATCTTTTTATACCACCCAAGAAGTCTACCATGGTGTTGACTTTTACTATTTATTGTGTGCCCTCAGGGAGTTTGACTAGCTTGGGATCAGTCATGATCCTATGAGATTTTTGCCCTAAAGAGATTTTAGTTCTTATACTTCCCAGATCTTTGGCATGTATTTTTGATGATCAGTACATTTTTTTTGAGTTTCTGAATACGTGAAAGGGGATGGAGTCCAGGATGGGTTGTTACTTTGGTGGAAGATGATGGTGAAAATGAATCCATCTTTTTTGTGTTTATGTTCTCCAACAGCTGCATTCAGGTATTGTCATTGAGGGCTGAAAAACATGAAGATTTCTTTATTGGGTTGTTTGGGTTTTTTTAACTTTGGGTCAGCTGAGATGATGTAAAGTTGCAGTAAGAACAGGACCATTCGGAATAACATCGCTATTTTGTGAACAGAGGTAAAATGTAGGGTGTGTATCAAACCTGTAATTGTTGAAATGGCAACTGGTTTAGCTTCAGCATGTTTTTCTTGATGTTTATCTTGTGTAAGTACCTTACTCATATGAAGATAAGATTTTGGGCAGTTATCAGCTTTGTACACACAGCTTTGTGGGGTTTTGTTAAGCATAAACTTTTAAAATTTCCATGGAGATAGAACTGGGCTATTTAACTGCATTTTTTTTCTTCATGGGATAGACATTGTCTGTACTTCTTGTTTTGGACATACTAAAGAAACAATTCTGAGATTACAAAATCAACATCTTGAGGAAAAGTGAGACCAGTTTGGTTGTTTAATAGTTCTTTCATTCTGGCTTTAGGGAACAAAACAAGTAGGTTTCTTTTGACGTGTAGGTATCTCGTAACCAGAAGGATGAGGAAGCTCTGTAGAAGTGAAGTCTTGTTTGGAAGTTTGAGGTAAAACTGTGGAGATCCAGCCCTATAGTTCCCCCAAATGTAGCCTATTTGGCTTTTCCAGGAGAAGTGATGATTTTGGTCTTGGACTTGACTTCTTTTTTTCTGTTATAGTCCATTGAAATACTTTTCCTCACATTTTCTTACAAGCTTTTGAAATATTTTATATCTGCTACTGGGAAAAATGACTTAAATAGATTCATAATCTAGATCATGTTCTTTCAGGAAAGTGGAGCTTGACTGTGTTTATTTGGAACTATTTTCTGCATACTGTAGTTGGGTAGTTTCTCACCCATCTCTTTTACGTCTTGGATCACTTCTCCCATTTTATGTTGAATGAAAAGTTCATTGCAAAGAGAGGTTTCATGTGTTTGAATGACTTTTTGTTTCTATTCATAAGTGATGTAGTGCTATTTTATACTTAAAATTAGAGCTATTATGTTGTCTTCTCATCAGTTTGGTTCTCTAAGGCAAAAAAAAAAAAAAAATCATACTCTGAGTGTGTAATTGCTGTAAAGTATTCTCCCTGATCTCAATCAGCTAAATGCAGAAACATTTTACCAAAAGCTTGAGCTCTTGGTTTAGTTCCTACGTTTTTTGAGGGTAAATATAACTGGCAAAACGTACAATTTGTGAGAATATATTTGAACACTTAGAATACTGCACTTTAAAACCATTCCTGTGAGCTTATACTTACATCCTGAAGAAAGAAAACGTTATGCCACCCTGCAGGTTGCTATAAAGATTGTTTATGCAGCTCAGCATGGAACTTAAAATACGTTGAATTGGAGAATTTTGAAAAATGTACTGTGCGACATAGGAGACCAAATCATGCTAAAGTGCAAGGAAAGACTATACATCAGTTCAAAGGCTACATTATTCAAAAAAATACAACCATAAAAAAGGTAATAAGATTACATTCTCACACTTCATGGCTAGTAAGGTGCATTAAGCTGCTCAGATATTCATAACTTACGGTGACATTTGGGAAGATTACATTTTGCTGTGCACAGCCATTACTGCAGCTCAGATAATAACTAGCCAATGCATGGACCTGGATTATGATCCCTGTCATTGGAAACAAATTTGTGTTTTGAAGGTTGATCAGTTTCAAATCACCATTAGAAAGGGTTAATATGAAATACTGTGGGGTGTGTGTGTGCTTATGTGTATCTAATGGGTATGCATACATATAGTACATCACCCGCACCCTGCCTTTGGTATATTGCTTTCTCTGTCAGTTTTTTTGTTCTCACTTCCCTTAAAGGAAATGTTAAAATGGCAGTTATTTCTACCATAGCATATTATTTCTAGCATGTACTTGCTGAAATGCTTATGTTTGCAGATTAGATTTGAAACCTAATTTGACAGCTTCCTGGATGGGTGGTTACTGATAATAGTGTATCTAGCCAAAAATGAAAGATTGGTGCTGTAGACTATAGGGTGAAGGTAAGGTCATCTTTAGTTGCTGTATATGGTTTTGGTGTGATAATTGATGGTTAGCTGATAGTTAAAACCAAATGCATAAAGAGTTGAATTTCTTGTTAAGAATTAGCAGGTGTTTTGAGGCTAGAATTTAACCTTCAGTTGTTCTATGTGTACATGGAATGCAGTATTTCCTTTGTTTCTTACCTCAATGGTGAGAAAGAGTGGCTTCTTGAGGAATACCTCTGTTTTGTAGAGGATGATAAATTTGGTGTAAAATAAAGTGTAGCACTGGTTATGTTGTTACATGTTTTCAAATGTTCTGTTCAGCGCTTTTTTAAGGGGGTTGTACTATTTTCTTAGCATTTGTTTTGTGATAATTCAGTGTTAATCCATTCTGCTCAGCGTTCTCCCTTGAATTCTGCCTCACAGAGCTTTCTTGAAGTAGGCCTTTGCTCCATCTTATGGAAGGGGAAAACTGAAGCTTGGAGAATGATAATGACTTGATAGATTTGTTTCAGTTGACAGCGTGAGTTGATATAGAGAAGCTGGGAATATAATTCAAGTCTCCCCATTCAGTTCCTGCGGTTTCACTAGATATTAAGGAAGCATCTGATAGTAAATTGCATAATTATTTTTCATGACCAAGAGGGGAGAAAATGGAAAAGTGTAAATTACTGTTTAGAAATTGTTACCATGAGACATTGTCTATTCTGTCATAAAAGCAGTAACTTTCTCTGCTTCTTGTGATGTTTGGCATTACTGATTTATGCCTAGAAGACCAAAGATTGCTTCTTCAAAGTGACAAGATTTAGACACTTGAGGAGAATGTATGGTAATTTCAGTAGTTAATGAAGAGTGTATATCCTGCTCCGTTGGGTAAGTTTATCTTCAGATCCCGACTAGCCAAGAAGAGCTGTCAGAACTTATATGGCAGCAAGTTAGTGTATGTGTTTTGGGGCAGTTTTGACATGGTACGACTTTGGCAAGTGACAGCGCTGAAGCTGTTAATGGTCAAAGCCTGTGAAAGGAACACCATGTAGGACAGAAATAATGTCTTTTATTAGACAAACTTGTAGAAGTGAGAACGAGCCGAAATACTTTTGATCATGAGTCCATTTGGATCCTTTGGGGCAATGCTATCTGAATTCCCATTTGTATGCTAGTATATAATGGGTATTTTGACAAGCATGGCAAGCATTAAGTTTAATACAGTTCTGAAGTCCAAGAGAAGTTTAAAAAGTGGAGGTGGGAATTGGGGTAGAGCTGTTAAGTTAGTAGTATCCATCTTTCTTCAACTGGAATTTTTATTTTATTACACAAATGAGAATGAAGTAGGTTATTTCCTTCCCCCCTCCACCTCCTTGGCACGTGTATGCGTGGTTAGTTACTTAGTGTATGTTCAAACAAAGCCTGCATCTAGGACACCTGAAATATTGCAGGATTTAAGTGCCTCAGCCAAAGCGTAGTCAAAGGCTTCAAACAGTGCTGCTGTTTCACATTCATGCAAATACAGCAAGCCTTTGTTTCCTTTAGTGCCTGTGGCTACTAATGAAACTGGCAGTTAATACTTAACCAGCGTTATTCAATATCTCATGAATGGATCTTATATTTTTATAAGTGGTAGTATTTCTGATGTACATCAGCTTCATTGGGTTAGAATTGTCCTCTTATTTGAGGTGTGTTAAGCACATAGGAAGGAAAGCTTTTAGGGCCACTCCAGGCCATTTTAGGTATCTTCACTGACTTGGCTCTCTCACGTGTTTTGGAACACTTAATCGATCTCTTTGCTTTTCCTCTGCGTGGGGCAGCTCAGGACATCTGTACCTTAAACTACCCAAATGTTCTTCTGCAGTAGTTATCTGATAGTAGATGGCACCTTAGGAGCACCTTTGTTGAAGTTACTCAACAGAACTTGAAACAGAGGAAGAATAAGACTTGATACGTTGATATTGACCTCGTTGTGATTTCCTTAGCTTACATCTTTGTTAGCTGTCTTCTTGCAGAGTGAATAACTTTAATCCTAGAGTGTTACTTTGACACAATTGTCTTAAGGTTTTTCTAATCTTTTGTCTGAAAGCTTGTTGGAGGCCACTTTGACTTGGAAATGAACTTTATCATCCAAGAAGGAGAAGGCATCACCTGCATGGTAGACTTGCTGGACAAGTGTGACGTCACCTGCCAGGCTGAGGTGTGGAGCGTGTTTACGGCAATCTTGAAGAAAAGTATACGCAACCTACAAGCGTGCACGGAAGTGGGGCTTGTTGAACAAGTGCTCAAGAGGATTGATAGAGCTGACAACATGATTGCAGGTACAGTTTGACCCAGTGTATGACTCAAGCTGTATTCCTTTTGTGTAAAATCTCATGGAAGGATTTATTAATAAGGGATAGAAATTTGACATTGCATTTTATTGAGCAATTATATTGCTGTTCTTTTCCTTTTCAGATCTCTTAGTGGATATGCTGGGTGTGTTGGCTAGCTATAACTTGACAGTTCGAGAGCTAAAGTTATTCTTCAGCAAGCTTCAAGGAGAAAAAGGGAGATGGGTAAAAGAAAACACAAAATTGAAACCATATTTTGTAATGTTGCTTATATTTTTCCTAACACTCACAAGCTAAAAGGCTGTTTGATAACCTTTATAATAAAAAAATAAATTAAATGTATCAAGAAATACAGGATGCTTTCTGGTATTATATCAATGAATCTTTTTACTTGCAAGCAATTAAAATACAGAGAGTAGAATAGTGATGAAATTAAATTTCCTCCTGAATCTGTCGACTGGATTGGTCTTTTTGAACACCTGGGAATAATATAGTGACTCTAAGCAAGTGTTTTTATGCACTTTTTTTTTATTTTTGTAATTCCAGGTATGTGAAATTGAAGGAAAAAGGAATTTTTTTTTTTTTTTTTGAGACAAAAGAGAGAAATAAATAAAAAATGTCTATATAGGTAATTTAGTGTGCTCATATTTTCACATTGTTCCTGAAAAAATATATCTAATTAGGGAAGTAAGAATTTGTGGCAGAAATTGAAATTAAGGAAATAAGCTCCAGCTGAAAAATCGTATCGTGTTTTCTCCTGTTCCTCCGTGAACTAGAAGGGGAGAAAAGAGTCTCCTTTTACTGTTGAGACCCTCCTTCCCTAAAGCAAAAATGAGCATGCTGTAAAGGCCACCAAGTAGTTTAACAGAAAATTGTTGTTTTGCTGGAATTGGGAACTATTTTAACAATTGTTTCACCTGCTTTGAATTTTAATTCAGCTCCCGTTATCTCTAAGTACTCTGCCTAGTGTAGAGAAAAGGTAGCACAGTGTCTCTTGACTTCAAATAATTAAAAAATATATCCAGTATAAAAGCCAGTATGCACAAATAATATAGCAGATTTTAAAAGACCCTTTGAAATAAATAACTTATTTGAGCAAATAAAATACTCTAAACTTAATAGTTTAAACTTTAATTGAACATACAGAGTATATTTAACCGTAGATGAATTAAAGTTGTCTCTGTAACATTAACTTTTTCATTTCCTGTCTTTCTGCTATTTGCATTTAATTTCCTTTCTTTATTAAAAACTGAATATATGCCACAAAAAATGCCACAGTTGCATTGCTAAGGAGTTGCACAACTCCATAAATCTTAAAATCAGCAGTGCTGTAAAGATACAAAGTATTTGGCTAAAAGAAAAATTACCTAGTTGGATTCTATAGTGCTGAAGACATCTAAGCAAGTTCTCGGTATTTCTTCCTCAATTTGAATTCAGATTCATGGAGAACTGTTTATCTGACTATAGTTTCGGTACATGTGAAATACTTGATCCTGCAATGCTTAGCTTTCAGAGGGTGGCTGCTTACAAGAGGTGAAAAAGGACACTTTCAGGAAAAGACCAGAAGTGTAAAACTGTAGTTTAAAAACAGATCTACTGGGAAGTTATGAAGTGGTAAAAGAAAACGCACAAAATTGTTCTGTCACTATGGCTGATATTTGCTCACAACTTCTGTTGTATATCATATACTTGGTTTGGAGTTTATAGTTGCTGAGTATTACAACAGAATCAGTGCAGAATTAGTGTGATGGTGGAGAAGTGTTAAGTATTCACATTAACTGAGCACTCGGTTTAGGTGCTCCAAACTACTCTGGGGACTTGAATCTTTCTCCATGAACTTATATGGACTTAAGTATGACTATAGTCCTGATGAAAGTAGCCCGGTCCGCTGATCCTCCCTCTCCATTTTGCTAGGTATTTCCCATCTCCCTTGTGCCGGCACAGGTTTCATGCAGCCCCAGTCCAAAAATGCCGTAACTGAAAATTGGTTTGCATTTGTTTTTCCTAAATTAGTTTTCAGCTGGATCAGTTAATTTTCTTTAGCTCACTACAAACTTCGAGAACTACAGAGAGAAAAGATTCCCAACTCAGTGAGACTGGGAACAGATAGAGGGAGCAACCAACGTTCAGGGTCAGTTTAGTTTATGCTGGATGAAAGTGGCCATGACCTTTAAGTCCTTAATTTAGTTATCCAGTTAATTGTATTTCAGTGCACCTCCTGCATACTGTGTGAAGGTACCTATAACTCTGTTAATGTTGTTTATTGAAAGTACTAAGTATCTTAACAGAGTATTACTCAATCATGTGCAAAGCTTTAAAATGGATCAAAATTTATTTATTCATGTGTTACAGTATGTTCTTTCTTATAGGTGTGTTTTATTTACTTACAAGTGTAATAATTCTCTTTGTCAGCCACCACATGCTGGGAAGTTATTGTCTGTGTTAAAACACATGCCTCAGAAGTATGGACCTGATGCCTTCTTCAACTTTCCAGGAAAAAGTGCTGCAGTATGTAAATATTTTAAGTTTCTTGTTCATTTGTTGTTCTGTTATGGCCATATTTTATTTATCTGTCATTGTCATAGATGTATATATACTTTTAACCAAATTTTTTTCTTTGGCTGACATCTACATTATGCCTAAATAAATCATGCTTATAATAAATGTGCATTATCACTGTAGAAGAACAGATACTATACATAAAGAACAGATATAAATGAGGCTTTTTTGTTTGGTTGTTTTTGTTTTGGGGCTTTGATGTGGGTTTTTTTTTTCTTTTTTTTTTTTTCTTTTTCCCCAGACTGATTTATTTAAATCTTGTTGCAAGGAGAATCTACCTGCTCTTCACATCTGTGTTTCTGTGGGAATGGTGCTTGTGTTAGTATCCAGTATGTTGAGAGTGGCTTTGTGGTAGGCTGACCTTGGCGGGACACCACATGCTCACTGAGCCACTCTGACTCCCCCTCCTCAGCTGGACAGGGGAGAGAAAATATAACAGAAGACTTGTGGGTTGAGATAAGGACAAGGAAATCACTCACCAGTTACTGTTGCGAGCAAAACAGACTCAACTTGGGGAAATTAA